TTTTCAGAGTCCTGGCAGATTCATTTGCCTCACTGCCTTTGTAATTTTCTCATGTATTTATTTATTCATTCATGTATTTGTTCCCCACCTTGTTTCAAATTGGCTATCAGGTGGCATACAAGAATACACAAAATACAAATGATAGTATAAATTCAAAGTAGATAAGAAAGTAGAAAGGGGGAGAAGATATGAACAGCCCTGTTTGTGTGGCTCAGTAGATTGAACACTGTCCCACACAACAGCAGGTCATGATTTGATTCTGTCAGGGCATATGCCCAGGTTGCAGGCTTTATCCCCAGTAGGGGGTATACATCAGGCAGCCGATTGGTTAATTATTCTCTCATCATTAATGTTTTTATCTCTGTCTCTCTCTCCCTTCCTCTATCTGAAATCAATAAAAACATTTTTTTAATCTTAAAAAAAAATAATAGGAACATAAAATGGAGCCTGGAAGAAAGCTAATACAAAGCACATACATACCATAGAGTCCCCATGGCAAGTGCTATGCATGGGCCACAAATTTGGCTCCCAGCTTTCTAGTAGCCAGCAAAAGAGAAACCCAGTAAATGGCAGATCACAAAAGAAGTGATATGCCATTTACTAGAAAGCCAATAAGCTTTCTAGTAACTTCAGTCTCACATTTCACAGGGTACATAAAATAAAAGCAAAACCACTTCTTAAGGATGTCTTTTCCTGATCTAAATTCTAAAAAATTTCCTATAGTGAAGTGTCATAAATGGTGGAAAATTGTCTCTCCAAAGTTGCTCTAACATCACGATTCAGCTCCTGGAATAGACTCCAACAAAGACAGCCATTCTTGAAATTATATCTACTACTACTTATTTTTTTTCTACCTATCTCTTGAAATTCCATTTGTTCAATTAAATGTAGCTATTAAAAAGACTTCTTTAAACAAAACAAAACAAATAAAAAACCTCTTTGACCAAAGCAAGTATTTTCATTTAATTAAAGAAGTAGACATTGTGACATTATTTATTTAAAAAATTTAGAAAGTTCACCAAATATCCAATGAAAGGAAATGATTAAATAAACCATGATGCCACTATTGCCAATATATGATGAAATATTATACATTTCAAAAATAATATTATGAAAACTTTTTAAAATATAAGAAAATATTACTTATAAAAATGTAAGTGAAAATCAGGATAAAAAATTATATATTATGATCTCAACTATGTAAAAATATCCCCATATATGGCCATAAAAAGTCTGAAAGTAAATTCACCAAAAGGTTAACATTGTTTCTGAGATCTATGAATTTGGGTGATTTTTTTTCCTTTATGCTTGTGTTTATTTTCCAAAGTTTTTTATACTAATGAAAAATTTCTCTATAATGAGAAAAAAGGACTAGGAAGAAAATATCAACCTAATAAGTTATCATTGTTCTATGAAATTATGGGCAGTTTCAATTTTTCAATTTTATATAAATTCTAGCCAGGAACAAAGTTACTTAAAGAAAGAAACAAGAATTCTAAAATCTAGTTTATTGATTGCTTATAAGGGCCAGAATGATGGAAATCTAATAATACCTCACAATAATTAATCACTTAATAATTACAATATTATTTTACATTTTAATAATTAATAAATGTATTTATTTAAATTTAATATTATTAAACTTATTTGTAAAAGCATCCTGATATTTATAATTATATTTGATTATCAACAATATCTTGTGAGACAAGCTAGATAAAACTCTTCTCATTTAACAGGTGATGAAATTGAGGCTCAGATAAATTAAGTAACTCAAAATCACAATAATCAGTGACACAGATAGACTTAAACCCAGGCCTCCAGAATTCTAGTCCAGTGTTCTTTCTATTTATTCAAGACTGACAGTGGTGTAACCTAATCAGTCACTGAGAGACAGAAATATAAAAACAAGAACTGCTCCCTACATATAAGGATGCTATTCCTACATAATCCCCAAGGTAGGGGAGTTTAGCTGATGAAATTATGATTTTGGGAGGTAAAAAAAAGAATAAGGAAAGTGAGGTTACATGTGAATTTTGAAATCCCTTATAAATACTTTTTGTACAATAAAACAAAACAATAATAACAGTGCATTACATAAAAAGAATGAAAGTTTAAATAGCTTAAATTAGTAAAAAATGACAGGTTCTACATAGTTTCCATTTTAGATCCTGAAATGACTTCCAAAGGCAATGAAGATGCACTACTCATTATGGCAGTGGAAAATGGGAGTGACAGTGAATCAATGAACAGAGCTGGACTATGTCAAAATCATGGCTCTCCATACTCTCAGAGTCATCTAAATCCAATCCTAAAATTGCAATGATTTGCTTGTGGCTTTAGCCTTATCAAGCAAGTGAATTTAAGTGGTACAGTTTAATGACTGTGACTCTTCTGAAGATGCTTTCTGTCTTCTCAAGACTTTAAAAGACACCTTAGCACTTTGGTATAGAATTCAAATTAAATCATTCAAGCTTTTCTAAAGTCAGATTATCAGCTGTTCAGCACTGGTATATAAATGGCACTACTTGATGTTTTAGGCTCTTCTGAGTTTGCTTTCTTCCTATTATGGTGTCAAAAGTCTTAGAATCTCCTTATAGAGTTTAAGTAAATTATTCAAGCTTTGTCTGAAGACAGCTTATCAGCTTTCCAGCATTTTGTATTTGATCATTTAAGCCCTGCTGGTTTCTGTCCAATGTGATATTTTTTAAGGCACCAGAATACCTCTTTATGTAATTCTGCTAAATTACTCAAGCTTTGAAGAGGTAAAACTGACATGTAAAGGTATCAATTTTCCCTACTTTCTTGGAGAGGTGCTAATATTGTTCTAAAATACTTGCTTCTGTTGCTACAGTTTCATAGATTCTAAGTATCTTCATCATCACTTATGGTAATCATCTCTGGAGTATTGGAATTTTCCTGAAAGTCATCTTCTAGCAGCATCATATCACTTGGGTTAGTGTCAACAGGTTCAGATTCAACTTTAGCCATGTTATGCCAAATGTTCATTTGCACCCATAGGTTCTTCTTGATCAAAATAGTTTTTTCAGGAGGGAATGCTGAAAGATTTTTCACCATATCTAGCCAAATTTTCCCACAGGTTGTATTAATGAAAGGCCCTGTTAAACTACTGAAAGTCTCTTTTATTAAGACTATATCATTAGTGAGGGTGTAGGAATCTCATGCACCAGGATCTTCAGACAAAGGAACCTTTGTGAGATTTTGAACAACAAAGTCATATTATTAATTTGGCATTAAGTCTTCTTGAATGACTGGATCAAACACTGATCTAAGGCCTCAAATATCTGAGACATGAGAATAATTATCAAACCAACTTTAACATTAGGATTCACATTGGCAAGTACATCTGAGGTTCCAAAGGACTATAACAAATCAGTAGGACTTTGAATTCAAGATTTTTAAAAATAGTCTTGAACTTCCACAAGAAAGTACTTTTTAAACAATTCCTTGCAGAGATAAGGAGTCACCCTGGATTTTCTGTTTGCACGTAAATGCACCGGAAACTTGGCTAGGTTTTTTCCCATTGGGAAGAGTTAGGCATAATTTCATGTAGAGTAGTAATGATTTCACTATGAGGCCACCTGAAGTAGTGGCACAAACCACAAATGTAAGCCTCCTTATTTTTTATTACCTCATATCAGCATCAATTGTATCCTACTCTTCAAAAGGGCAAGTAATATTATTTAAGGGTTTCCAAAGCATGGTAGTCTCAATAGCACAGATTTGCACAGACACATAACTCCCTACTTCAATTACTTTCTGCAGTTGTGGCAGATACAACACAGGCTCTGGTAGTTCTTTTTTTGGCACCACTATAACATAAAGCTTTGTCTCCAGGTCATGGCATTTCTTAAGTTTCTCAAACGATCCCTTGTTCCTAGAAAATATTTTTTTTTCTGTACCCATTTCAGTGTCTGAAAATATTTCTTCAAGATTTCTTCTTACATGGTCAGAAATCCCATACATGGAAAGTGTTTCCTTATTATTTTGCTTGTATCTAACACAGATGTTTAACATCATTTCCAAGTTTTCCATCCTTATGTCACAAGGGATAAAACATCCCTTAAGTGATACAGGTATACAAGAGACAATACTGACCTTAATAAGAAATTCTGTTTTCCTTATGGTACAAACTATGGATTCATTAACACTGCTAAAGCAACCTAGGAAACCATTTGTTTTGCCTTAAAGAAGCAGATGAGGAATGTTCATTTTCTCTTCTAAAGACATCACCCATCTTGCCCTTTTGGCAAGTTTCTGTGGTAGCTGTCTCTGTACTTCATCTATCGATATTCTATTCTTCCTCTACAGTCACATTTATAGAAGCCATGTTTAAACTTTAGGCTAATTAATGCAACCTGGCAATTACTTACTAGATATTTTATATCCCCTAGGGTTACAAAGTGTCAGCATATGATTTTTAAGCACCAAACTGTATTATGAACAACACAAGGACAAATTATAATATATTATTGTAATATCCAGTGCAAATAGGGCTGCTCGTTTAGGGGACAACTGACAGAAGATGAGAAGGAAAACAAATGACTTCAACTGACTCCTGTATACTCAGTTAAAAATTTTCACAGCTGTCAAAAAGGTATATAGAAGTACATCCACCTATAGACCAATTTTTAATAAGAAGAGCTTGTAGCTTAGAAAAGATTACGGTAAATTCTCTTCTAAGTTATCAGAAAGAAAGTAGTTTATATATTCAAGACAGTATTATTGCTATAAGTTCCCTTGGCTTAACACTATGAATTCAATTTTACGTAAAAGGTAAATACAACGTAAGTATATTTTCTGTATACCACAGTACATCAATCAAACATTAACTTCTGACACAATGCAACCTCTAAAGAAGTAAATATAAATATCAGGCAGTCCCTAAACAGCTAATGCTCAAGAAATAACTACTCAAGAAAGAAAGTGACAATGAAAGAATAAATTAGCCCCTTTTCAATGCCCGACCACTGATACTTTACTTTTATCCCCTCCTCCTGGGAAGATAGAGCGAAGCCTGGCTTTCTTATTCTTCTCTTCAGGGGCCATGGGAAGCGGTTTGGAGCTGTGGTTAAGCGCTGAAGAATCCCGATTGTTACTATTCATCCTCAGTGGGGGAGCTGGGGGTTTCTCTTCATTATCCAGATTGTCAGACATTTTCAGTTACAACTAACTGCACAGCTCCTAAAGGAGGAGGAGGAGAAAATGCATTAAGAAAAGAGAGATCTATAAAACAATCTAGTAAATATAGGAATTCTAATATCTTAGAAACAAAGGTATTGGTTTAATATTGTCTCAGGTTTTTCATTGACCATGTTGAGGGGTTTCTTTTCTAGAGGAAAATATACCACTTCCCTAATGACCAACCGTGAAATTTCCCAAAGAAAAAAAGTGAAGGCTATGATTAATCGCTTTTCAATATGCACACACAAACACATAAAAGGTCCCTTCCATTTCTCATGATGAAACTATATTTTCTGCTGTACACTGAGTCTTTTAATGAACAAGTTATAATCTTTCTTCTTTAAACATTCTATCCTGATCATTGTTATGGTAGGGTAGCAAAATTTCTTCAGAATCCAAAATTGACACAGATTTGGCTGTTGATTTTAATGGCCCATAAGAATGACTTGTTGCATGCTTTGACATTGGGATGCCTTTGGTGTCTGATTCTTACTTGTGTATACCTTATCTACAAAATATACTCTACTGTTTTATGAGAAAGAACTGAGAAGCAATCTAGTAGACCTGATAGTTTCAATAAACTTGGGGTGTACATATAGAAGAAATAATCCCTCGTCTTCAGGTAGCAGGTAGAAGATAACGCTGAAACAAATGTCACCATGAGCAAAAAGGAGCTTCAAGGAAAGGACCACTTCCTGAGGAGACACTAAAAGCCTACTCATTGTCATATTTTATATCCTGGAATAGGGAGCAAAGAAGTTGACAGGGGTAACATGGTTGTAAGAATCTGTCTGTGTTTTAGCAACTTATTTGCTCTTAATTTTATTACTTTTGCATTTTGTGCTTAGGGCTGAATATATTTGGGTTTTATCCCACTGAGAGGGCAAAGTAAACTGTAAAGAATGGATTTTCCAATGAAATGTTTCTGTTTCCAGTTTTTTTACTATTCTAATTCAAGTCCTTCATTAAGGACCTGAAACTTGCCATGGCAAGTCAGGTGTTAAGAATGAATGAATGAATGAATCTTCAGTTTAAATACAAGAAAAATCAAATTTCATTGCAACAAAATCTCTGTAAATTCAAGTATTAAGTTGTACTCATTTAGGAGCAAAAGAACCCTCCAAACACAACTTAGAATATCATTTTATCCCAACAACATTTACTATAAACAAATATAATAAAAACAATAAAACCAGGATCGCCTCATTACCAATTATAATGAGAAATAATCTGTCATAAATATGTTTAGCTCTTTAGTTGTTACAATGTTTATTGTTTTCAGTATTGAACTCTAATTAGGTTACATCATGTTATGTAGAATTTCTTTTAATTTTACTATGTTCTAAGTTTTCTCAAATATATAGCCTGTGAATATTTAAGAATAAGTGATTATCAATAGCTTCTCTATGTGCATAGGTGACTACAAACTAACAATCATGATGCTGATTGGATTTATCTTGATTTGGACAAGAGGTCTCTTTTCCTTTTCTAAGTGTCATGACTTCTATTATCTTAATAAATTAAGAACAATTCTATGTTTTTTTTTTCCAGTTAGCATGATAGTAAAAATACTCAGTATTAAATATTTTCTCACAAATGGCAACAACTTAATAAGTCTGACATTTTCCTATGTAAGTGAAACTACAATATACAGCAAAATTAAAATGAACTGATGTCAAAGATAAGGGATAAGGCCTACTAATTGATATACTAGTGCCTATTTTAATTAGAATACTAAACTACTGCTTATAGGTTTATATTCCCTTTTGTTTTTGATTTTGGTCCTTATAAATTCACTGTTTCTCCAAAATAGAAGTGAGTTTAAGACTCAAGAGAACCAAGATGGTGGCTTAGGTAAACACCTATACTTGTTGCTTCTCACAACCACATCAAAATTACAATTAAAAGGCAGAAAAACTGCCACCCAGAATGAACGGGAAAGCTGACTGAATGTAAGTTCCATATCTACAGAGATGAAGAAAGTGCATTGAGACTGGTAATACATACGGAGGCATGGAAAGTGCTGGCACATGGGATTGCTGCTCTTTTAATCAGGAGGGAGATACAAGCTCCCACTTGCTTTGAACTCTAGTTCTGGGTGAGACTCTTGGGGACCCAGACACATATGAGGTAAAACTGGACTGTCTGGCATCAGGACAGGAACGTGAAGGTGGCTTTAATTCAGAGGAGCTCACAGTGATCATTGTTCCTCCAAGGGAGTGTGGGATGCAGAGATCCAGGGACCTCTCTGATGCAGGGCTTACTGGTAGCCATTGCTGTTTGTTCCACCCTAGTGATTCCCAGAGACCCTGCCCCACCCAATTTACAACCTCACCCAAGCTGTGTGCATTGGCTTTGCATATGAATGGCCTATCCTTTTGCAATCTAAAACATGTCAAACTGAAGCTGGGTCAGAGAGCCCCATAGTTTCCAAAAGAAGGCCCAAGGCGTGACAGCAGCAGCCTGCCTTGCTTCACAGCTGGGTCCAGGATGGGCACTTCCAAACACAATTCAAAGAGGAAGAATCTATAGATGTCTCTGTATCTCTTGCTGGGTGCCCCTAGACATTGACTAACCTTGCACCTTCTTGTAGAGCCAAAAACTATTGTACCCAGTGGTCAGTGTACAATCAAACAAAATTACAACTATTCACATTCATAAGTGACATACCCAAAGGGCAGACTCAGCAAGCACCAAAGTCTCACTGAATCAAGTCCTGCCCCATAAGGGTGTCTCTTGCACAACAGATTTTCCAATGTAGACACAGTTGGTCGTTAAAGCCCATTGGCCTGGAGGTCATTTCCTCCCAGTGATACCAACAGCAATCAAGGCTTAACTACAACAAGACTATGCACACAGTCCAGAAAGGGGTTCATTAAGAGCATCCACCTCAGGTGACTGAGGAGGCTGAGACAATGGGCCCCTTAGGACACCTACCACACAAGTCCACTCTGTCAGCTCAAGGAGACTTAGCAGCTACCCAGTACATAGAAACAAACACAGGGAAGCAGCCAAAATGCAGAGACAAAGAAACAAGTCACAAATGAAAGAAATGGAAGAAAGCAAGATACTGGATATAGAGTTCAAAACCACAGTTATAAGGTTACTCAAGAATCGTGTAGAAACCTCCAAGAAATTTAGTGAGACCTTCAAGAATGTGGAAAAGGACCAATCAGAAATTAAGCATACACTAACTGAAATAAATAATAATATATAGAGACACAACAGAAGACTAGAGGATCCCAAGGATCAAGTCAAAATTTGAAATATGAGGAAGCAAAAAACACCCAACTGGAAGAGAAGAAATAATTCAAAAATATGAAGATAGTGTAAGGAGCCTCTGGGACAACTTCAAGCATACCAACATCCAAATTTGTTGGTAATAGAAGAAGAGAGAGAGCAAGATATTGAAAACCTATTTGAAAAAATAATGACAGAAAACTTCCCCTTCCTGGTGAAGGAAATAAACTTACAAGTATAGGAAGCACACAGAACCCCAAACAAGAGGAACACAAAGAGGACCACACTGAGACACATCATAATTAAAATGCCAAGGGCAAAAGACAAAGAGAATCTTACAAGCAGCAAGAAAAAAAACAGTTAGTTACCTACAAGGGAGTACCCATATCACTGTCAGCTGATTTCTCAACAGAAACTTTGCAAGCCAGAAGGGAGTGGCAAGAAATATTCAAAGTGATAAATAACAAGAACCTACAACCAGATTACTCTACCCAACAAAGCTATCATTTAGAAATGAAGGTCAGATAAAGAGCTTCACAGGCGTTTTTTCTCCACCATTGCAGTGTGTATTTGCTTCTCCTTCACCATGTCTTCCCACAAGACTTTCAGGTTCAAGAGGTTCCTGGCCAAGAAACAAAAGCATAATTGGCTCATTCCCCAATGGATTTGGATGAAAACTGGTCATAAAATCAGGTACAACTCGAAGAGATATTGAAGAAGAACCAAACTGGGCCTATAAGAAATCATACATGAGAGATGACTCACATATTTATGCTTTATTCAGGTTGCCTACACCTTTAAAGTATTGAAAATATGCTACTATCTGGACAGTTAGGGCATTTTAATCTGAGAATTAATGGACTTGTGGTTTTGCTCTGTCGATTTTTTCCTGGTGCAATAGTAGGATGGTTCAGTAATAAATGTGTAATACCTTTAAAAGTAAAAAAGAGCTTCCCAGAAAAAAAAAAAAGCTAAAGGAGTTCATTACCACCAAACCAGCATTATATGAAATGGTAAAGATAGAAAAAGGTAAAGATAGAAAAAGGGTAAAGATAAAAAATTATGTACAACAAAGTGACAACAAATACATATCTATCAACAAGTGAATCTAAAAATCATATAAATAAAAAACATGGTAAATACAACACACTGGTGAATGTAGTAGAATCAAGGGCATGTGAAGGAGGCAGTCTAATCATTCCCCAGAGGGGGTAGGGATTTGGGGTATGCGGGAAGAGATTGGAAAAAGAGCTTACACCTATGGACGAGGTCAGTCCGGGCAGGGGAGGCCTGTAGTGAAGTGGGAACCAGGTGGAGAAGAGCTATGGAGGAAAAAAGAGAAATATCTGTAATAGTCTAACAATAAAGATGCAAAAAACAAAAAAACTAGGAAACCAAAAAAACAATAAAAATAAAAATCCTATCTAATAAAGGTGATATGCAAATTAACTGTAACTCCCCTACACCAGTGTTTCCCAAAGTGTGGTACGCATACCCCCAGGAGTACGGGAAGAGTTTGGTAGGGGTACGCATTGCACTGGAGTTTGGTGGGGATATGCACTGCACCGTGCTTAGCTGTGCCTAATACATCCATTTTTATTTTGACGAGGGGTACTCAGAATTATGAACATTATAGAAGGGGTACACATATGTCAAAAGTTTGGGAAACACTACCTTACACCAACAAACCACTTCTACCAGCCATGCCCACCAGCCAATCAGAACGGGCATGCAAATTAACCCAACCAAGATGGCTGTGG